GCAGATGGCACAGCATGGCACTGGCCGACACGGCTGGAATGGCTGCTTTTCCCACTGGACCACTTCGTGCTCCTGTGTGGGTGCCCAGGGAGTGACGGGGGTTGGGAAGACAGGGTCCCGGCTCTAGGCCTTGAGAGCCGTTTGCTTTCTTGGCATTCATTGCTTTGCTATTGTTGAGGCAGGGTCTCACTCTAGTCCAAGGGCTTGAACATTCACGAAGATCCAGTTCCCTCGGCCTTCTGAGTGCTGGGATTATAAGCATGAGCCACCAAGCCCAGCTTTTGGTCACTCCCTCCAGCTTGGGGGGTGTGTGGGGATGGGGCTTAGGTTCCTTCTCCTACTCAAACTGACACCATGTCCAGGGACTCCTCCCTGCTCACAGCTCCCAGGAGATTGAGTCTACAGGGGAACTGCTCCAAAGCTTCAGTCATCTGTTGCTCCCACAGTGGCCATAGGGTGGGTGAGTGTACTGTGGTTATCCAGTGTGACCTTGGACCCTGCTCAGCTGGTAAAGAGAGCAGAGTAGGTTCTGGGATTAGTCTCTCGGGGATGTTCTTGTCTGACCCACTCCCCTCTCCCTGTAACCAAGGCTCCTTTTCCGTAGGAATCTGTGCTTTCTAAGCAGGGCAGGGGTTATTTCCTCCTCAAACACATTCTTATGCAAGGAAGAGGCTGATAGGTATCAGAGAGTCACTCAACCCCCACGTGCCCAGTCCCCTTATCAGGCCCAGAAATCTCAAAGCAGGGGGCAAACAACCTGGAGGGGGGTGGTGGTGGCTTGGAAATGGGGAGCAGCCACCAACTCTTCTTTCTCTTCCTCCCCACCCCTTAAACCGCAGAAACCACTTAAAGCTCAGCACAGGCCTGTCCTTCCAGGGAGGACCCAAGGCAGTGGGTAGAGAGAAACCTGTGGGGTTTGGGCAGCCTGATGCCACTCAGCCTGGCTTGGCCCAGAGAGGGCCAGCTCTTCTGGAGTCTAATAAAGTGCTTCAGGGACCACTTTTCTTTGAGTCTTAGGGGCTTCATGCCTAGGGAGACCTCAACCCTCCAGAATGACTTTGGGAGAGGATGTCATTAGAAAACCAGACCATGCAAGCTTTTTGGAACATCGTGGTTTCTACTGTTCAGCTTCCAATCCGTCACCTTCACAGAGGTGCATTGGAGGAAGAGTGGTCCAGGTCTGGAGCTCTATATGATGACCCTGCTTGTAGCTCTCATTTCCCAGTTAACACTGGGGTGGGCTTGGAGGTGAGGAGGGTTGAAAATCAGGAACTGGGAGCCCTAGATTCAATCCCCAGGACCTCATAACCTGACAGGGAGGTGCTCACCTGTAATCCCAGCCCTTGGGAGATGAGACAGGAAGATGGGGGAGGGAGTTGTATAGGGAACTTGAGGCTAGCCTGGGTTACATTAGAGCTTGCCTAGAAACAATTACAAAGAACAAAATTGGGAGCTTTGATTTTGGGGACAAGGAAGACTTTAACAATGTGGTCTGCTGGGTAACAGCCATGAGCCCTGAATCCTGTCACAACCTTCATCCAAAAGGGGCATGGGGTGGGTATCATGGGGGCTGGCCTGTACTGTGGATGCCTGAGCTGCTTGCACACAGGATAGGTTCTCAGGGTTCATTTGCTCCCAAGGTACATATCTGTGTCTGGGACTGTGTGTCCCTGTCATGAGTCCTGAGGAAATGTGAGCCCCGAAATGTGACAGAACTTCTTCTGGGGGCCTTTGCACCGCATAGACTCCCCTCAAAAAACCTTGGGCTGAGTTGTGGCAGGGGACGTTTGTCTAGAGTCGCTTTCAGGGATCCTCAGGCAAGTTTATTTAAACTCCCTAATCTCTTTCTGCCTTTGTGAACTGGGAATAATAATACCTCCCTTGCCCAGTGGTGATGAGATAAGACTAACGGGTAAAGTACAGGGCCCGGTACAAAGTACTGCAGCTAAAAACACGAGGATTTCAAACTGCAGCTAAAAACACGAGGATGTCAGTCCCTCCCTCTCCTTACCACTCAATCCTGCCTCCCGCTCTTTCTCCTTACTTTTCTCTATGTCTTGTCACCAACCGGTTTTTAACTCTTACTTGTTCATTTTATAACTCCGGTGATTCCTGTGTTTGTTTTGATGGTGGCCATCTCCACTGCCTGGCACCCCACAGATCCTCCTTAGGATTACTGAGGAATGGATGAATGAAGGTGATCTATAGACATCTTCCCAGATGCTGTCACGTCTCATCACTCACTGAGGGTTGTTACAAGAGAACCTCAAGGTTGATGTAGAAATACAGTTCAGCGCAGTAGAGACAGATCGATGTGTGGGGTGGACTTCTTAGGTGTGAGTCCAAAGTGCCAAGACGAGAAATGATTGAAGAACTATCATCCAGTGGAAAAACCACTTTAGGCTTTTAATACACATTTTTAAAACTGTATCTACTTACGTGTGTGTGAGTCAGCTCTGTCCCGCCACCATGTGGATTTCTAGGATTAAACTCAGATCCTCAGGCAACAAGTGCCTTGAGCCATGCTACCTAGTTTTATTCTTTATTCTCTGATTAAGGCCCAAGGTCACATTGAATCACAGCTGTACACTCTCCTTATGGCCGTTGCCAGGAGGAGCAAACGTTTGAAACTGTTGAACAAGTCTTCCTATGGGCAGTCAGGTTGCTTTTAGCAGGGAGAATTGTTTGGTCAATGCCACCACCTGGTGGACACTATGAGCAAGGGCTTGGTGGTGGGAACTTAATCAGTGGAGGAAGAAGGAACTGGGGAACTTTCTGACTTAGGAAGGAGGGGTGTGTGTGTGTGTGTGCATGCATGCGTGCCTGTGTGTGTGTGTGTGTGTGTGTGTGTGTGTGTGTGTAGCTGCTGCTGCAGCTTTTGTTGGGAACAAGCAGGTTTAGCCCCTGTGGGGAGCACAGGTAGCACCATGGAAAGTGAGAAAAGGCCCAAGGGGGAGGAGGAAGAAGCTGGATTGGTCTAGGGCCTGATTTCCTCCTCCAAGTCTAGTTTGAGCCAGGAGGAACCAGTTCCCATGCAAGCAGAGGTAGAGAGAAGGTCACTGTTGACGTCAAAGACTTTCAGGTAGGAGGTAAACACAGGTTGACCCATTTTTATTTCACTGTCTTTCGCCCTCATCTCCTCTTGGCTGAAGCAGTCTTTTCTGGCATCCCTGATAATAGCTTTCACTTACTGATAGCATCCTGTTTCCTAGATCCCAGTTTCTACACCCCCAAATTACTGCTGGGTACCCAAGGGCTACTCTGTGTGTACCCTTCCCCCCACGGATTTCTCTGTGTAGCCCTGGCTGCCTTGGGAGTTATAGACTAGACTGGCCTTGAACTCAAGTATCTGCCTATCTCTGTGCTGGGATTAAGGGGGTTTGGCACCATGCTTGGCTGGCTTACTCCATAGTTCTTGACTCCAGCCATTCTTCCTGTTCCTGTAGCACAGGTGCACAGATAACACAGATACACAGGTGCACAGGTTTAAAGGTGCACAGGCTCAAAGTTGCACAGGTGCACAGATACACAGGTGCACAGGTTCAAAGGTGTGCAGGTGCACAGGTTGCAGGTGCACAGGTGCACAGGTGAACAGGTATGGATGGGACTGGCCAGAGGGAGACAGGGAGGTTCAAAAGGTGTCTTAGTCTGTGCTCCCCCGACTCACTTTTAAGGTTTAAAAATATCACTTCTTTAGGACAGATATTGGTCTAAGGGGTAGGTAGGAAGGGCCAGTTTCCTCTGAGCAGACCCAAGACACCTTCATCAGGAGAGGGTGGCTTTGTGCTCTGGTTCTGTTCCTAGAACTCTTGTTGGGATGACTCAGTAACTCAAGGGCTCTCTGAAGGTACAGGCTTTTGTTGGACTCTAGAAACCTGTGATGGTGAGTTTTAATAGTCAAGACACAGTCTACAATATCCTGGTAGGAGAATTGTCTCAATCATGCCAGCCTGTGGATATGTCAGTGGGAGATTCTTTTGATTACAATTAATTAATGTGAAAGATCTACCCATATTGTAGAATAGAATATTTGTTTAATATGTAAAGATGTGTTGTATTTGTTTATGCTGCATTTGTTGAACTATGTAAAGATGTGTTACTGTTTCACCTTGCCTGCCTAAGGCACCTGATTGGTCTAATAAAAAGCTGAATGGTCAATAGCTAGGCAGAGCAGGAATGGGGGTGGGGCCCAGTCGGACATGGAAGAAGCAGGAAATCAGGATGGACAGTACATAGATGAGGTAAATGAGTCTTGGGGCAGCACACAGATGAATAGAAATGGAATAATTTAAGTTTAAAAAACTAGCTAAAAACAAACCTGAGCTGGGGCTGAGTATTCATAATTGATAGTGGGCCTCCAAGTCTGTGTGGTGGCCCAAAGACAACTCCAACCTCCAGTCCTGGAACTCAGTCTGTTGACCAGGCTGGCTTCAAACTCAGAGATCCATATGCCCCTGCCTCCCAAGTGCTGGGATTAAAGGTTTGAGTACTGATGGAAGCAGAGGCAAACACTGAACTGAACCTATGGAACCCAGTGACCCAGAGAGAGGAGCTATGAGCAAATTGGCAAAGAATGGGCTGGTGAAACCAGCAGAGACAGCTGATCTGAACAGGGGAGAGCTCTTGGACCCCAGACCGACAGCTGGGAGGCCAGCATGGGACTGATCCAGACCCCGAGTGTGAGAGTCAGTGAGGAGGCCTGGGCAACCTATGGGGCCCTGGGCAGTGGATCAGTGTTTATCCCTGGCATACAAACAGACATCGTGTGTCCATAACACGAAGAGGGATGCTCTCTCAGCCTGGACTCTTAGGGGAGTGCCTGGACCCTGCCCTGAGTGAAAAGACAGACTCTAGATATCCCCTATGTGGAAGGAAATGGCAATAGGGTGGGAGGCTGGGGGGGATGGTGGGGGGTGAGGGAGGAGGGGAGGGAGAGGGAACTGGGATTGACATGTAGAACAAGCTATTTAAAATTAAAATAATAAAAAATAAATTAAAGGTTTGAGTCATCATGCCCTGCTTTATTTATTTTTAATTTATATGTATGTGTTTATTCATGTATGTGTATGCATGTCTGGCCTTCAGAGGCCCGAGGATGACAATGGATCCCCTGGAACCAGAGTCTCCCAGGCAGTTGTAAGCTGCCTAACATAGGTGCTGGGAACCGATCTTGGGTGCTTCGGAAGAGCAGCAGTGCTCTCAACCACTGAACCTCTCCAGCTCTCTCTTTCTGCTCCTGACTGTGAATGTGACTAGTTGCTTCAAGCCTTGGCCTTGATTTCCTCACAATGAGGGTCTGTCACCTGGAATTGTAAACCAAATAAACCCTTTCTACATAAAAAAATGCTTTTGGGGGGATAGTTTATCACAGCAACGGAAATAAAACTAAGACAGGACCCTAGGCCCCACTCAGCCTAGGCCTTTTGAAGTAGCATCTCTTGGGGATGGATAGTAGGCTCTGCATGTTTAGCAAACACTTCCAGGGTTTCTGATGGCTGCGTATTCTGAATCTCTTGGACCACTGCTTAATTAAGGTCTGCACCTGCTCATCCCAGTGGGCTGGGCAGAAGGAAGGAAAAAAGTTGCTGCAAAGCCTAGAGTTTTTGGTACCCGCTGGGGAGCATGCAGTTAGAGACAAACTGATGTTTTATTAGCAAAAATAAATACTCGTTGGGCAGATGACAAGAACGAGGGTTGCAGACACAGTGGAGACCTCCCAACGGAGCTGTGGTGTCAGTCTACAGGCTGAGATGTGCAGGTGCCAGGGAGGACCCTGGACCTAGACCCCCAGTCAGCGGGGGCAGCAGGGCGATGAGGGGCGTCTCACACTCTCCCAGCAGCACGTCCCTGCGCAGCCCCCCGCCCCTATCCAGCACTTTGGCCCTCAGACTGCGGGTGGCCAGGTCTGGCGGGCCCAGCCCTTCGAAGAAGAAGTCTTCATTGAAGATGGGGTTGGAGCTGCCCTGGACCACGCGGCTCCGCTGAGCTCTCGGTCTAACGCGTGGCTGAAGCCGCAACACCACGCAGCAGCCGCCACCGCCACTCCCGGGGCGGGCCCTCGGCCGAGGCAGGTCCTCCGCGCTCACCAGGCGCAGCCGCAGCCGCCCGTGGCCCGCATGGTACTCGGTGGACAGGCGCAGCTGACCGCCGCTGGGCTCCAGGCGCAGCACGCTGTCCTTGGTCGGCCGCAGCTGGCAGCAGAGGAAGTCCAGGTGGAAGAGCGGGGGCGCGCGGCGCGCTGCGTACGGACTGGTGTCCGCCGAGTTGGTCTCGTCCGGGCACAAGGAGTGCGGCCTAGGCGTGCGCGGGGAGCCGCAGGGAGACGAGTCGGGCGACGAGGCCGTGTCGCTGTCCGGGGCCCGGCAGAGGCGGAGGTCCGGGGCCGAGACGTGCAGCCGCGACTGCGCCGGGGCTAGACCTGCAGCCAGGCCGCGCGGCACGTGGAACAAGGACTCGCGGCGGCGCGTGTGCGGGCTTTCGGGCAGGAAGGCCCAGCCCTCGCGGCCCGCCAGGTGCGGCAGCGAGCAGGTGACCGGGAGGTTCCGGCCGTCCACCCTGGCCTCGGCGCCGCTGGGGTCCCGGAGCCGAGGCGGAATGAAGAACTGCGGGATGCGGTCCGGGGTGAGGACGTTAGGGTTGCAGCTCAAGGGCGAGCCTGGGGCCCGGCGCCTGGGGACCAGGCTGGAGTGCGCCTGCCTCGCTCCAGCCTCTGCGGTCCGCACCCTGTAGCCCGCTTTCTCCAAGAGCCACATGCAGTGGGTGGGGATAGTGAAGCACTGATGCTGAGAAGGTCCAAGTCCAGCCTCCAGGTTGGGAGCCCTGGACAGGGGTGCGCTGCGAGAAGAGAAGGGGTAATGCTGCGAGCCAATATCTGGTGGTCTACCTCCGTGGCCTTGTCCCCAAACTCATGGGGCACAAGGCTGGTATTTATAAGCAGGTAAAAGAAAGGGTGAAGTCTAGAAACTGGAGAAATGCAGCACAGGGTCAGACAGTACGATTTTCAGATGGAAGGTCTGGAGCCTGTTCAGTGGTTAAGAACACTTGCTGCTGTTGCAGAGGACCTGACTTTGGTTCCCAGCACCCACATGGTGATTCACAATCATCTGTAACTCCAGTACCAAGGGATCCAACGCCCTCTTCTACTTCTGCAGGCACCAGGCACGCACGTGGTGCACATGCATACATGCAGGTAAAACACTCATAAAATAAACACATTTTTAAAACCATTTTTTAGATGGAGGCCTAGTATACTCCACCCACAATCACGGATCCAGATATGAATCCTGCTCATATATACTCTAGGTCTGTAAGGTCACCGCTGCCCTAGGTAGGCTGGCCCCTTGTCCTACACCCTGGGGCCCTCAAGGCTCCTTCCCTGCTCAGGCAGCTTCTGCACCGGCTTCTGTGGATTGACCTATCCTTGAGCCCTAGCCCCATCTGACTCTTGTCTCCTCCCCCAAATCATCCTTTTCCTTCTCAGGTTGCTCCTGAAAGAGACTCACTTCTGCTCCTGGCAGCTGGGAACACGCCTGATTGCTGATCCGTAGGGCCAGTCCAGGGAGATTCACCTCTCTCAGTGAGTCACAGAACCCCTCTCCCCTCCTCTTTACACCCCAGCTTCTCAGCCCTGCCACATCCCGAGGCTGTAAGGCGGAGCTGGGCAGCTGAGTGGTCCCTCCCACTGTCCAGTCTTGCCTTAGGAAAGAAACTTCAGAGCACAAAGGCACCATTGATTCTCCGCCACCCCCAGTGCGGGCCCAGGAAGACTTCTTTGCAGCCGGCTCAATGAACCCCTGCATGGAGTCACCAGGAGCAAAGAAAGTATCAATAGTCTGCCAGGGACTCTGAGCACATGTCCCACTCGTCAGGTGCCCAGATTGTAAATCTTACCTGTGGGCAGCAGGTGGATACCAGCCTCTGGCTTCTGTCCGGCAGCGTGCAGAGCCCTAGGGGATCAGCTTCCTCTCCAGCTTGCTCCCCCGGCCCAGTCTTTCTGGGAGGAGCTGGCAGGGGCCTCTGCTGCCTACGTCTTTTCCTGGATAAACACAGGTCTGTCTCTCTGGCCTTCAACAGGGCTTTCTTAACTCCTTCCTCTAGTCAGAGCCAGGTTTCCAGGAGCAGCCTGCTAGACCTGAATATGTGCTACCAGTGTTGGGAGGGGGCAGAGAAAAGGGACACTGCCATCAGTGGGCAGTGGCGAGCTGTTGTCCCAGCCCTCCCAGGCAAAGCTCTTAGCCATATCCACACAGAGTCTGTCTTCTGTAAAGCCCTCCCTGCTGGGACCCTGTCTTGGCCCCTAACTATGGGCTCTGGAGACACTCTAGTAACTCCTCGGCGTTTTGGCTTTTAGTGAGCAGTTCAGTTCTCTGAATTATATCCAGCACCTCCTTCCAAATAAAAACAGGAAAACACAAGCGGCTAGGTTCAGGATTTCTGGATATAAAGACACTGAAGACATTTGGTTCTACCAACAGTGAGGGCCAGCGGACTTATGTCCTACATCTTTGGCAGACTTTAGGAAGCACAGGTGGCCACTGGGAAGATGAGATTATCCGTTTTACAGGCCCACCGCCCTCATTCTCTCCAAGACAGAGGCTCACTCCTTCCCTAGCATGGGTGGTTTCCCTCTTTACTCTTTCCCTGGTTGACAATTAGGGATGCCTCCTGTCCTGTTTCACAGCACCTGCCATCTTTTTCTTTTATGGTATCGGTTATTTATTTATGTAGGTCAGAGTGAGTGTCCTGGAATTTCCTGTATACCCCAGGCTAGCCCAGGCTAACCTGCCTGGTCCAGGCCCCCAAATGTGGGGACTACAGGTGTAAACCATTATGTTATCTTTTAAAAGAAAATTCTGGCCCCTTGTTAGGATGCAAATGTCATAAGGAGAGCGCTTAGCACAAGCCAGGTACTCAGCCAGGATTAAAATAAAAATATTTTATGTGTAGGGGTATTTAGTCTGCATGTATGTTTGTGCATGATGTGTATGCCTGGTGTCCTCAGAAGCCAGAAAAGGGCATCAGATCTGGAGCTGGAGTTGTAGACAGCTATGAGTCACCAGATGGGGCTGGAAATCAAACCTGGGCCCTCTGGAAGAGCAGCCAGTGCTCTTAACCAATGAGTCACCCCCTCCAGCTCTTCAGTTGGGATTTTAAGGTGTACATGAATGCTATTAAGCAGAATTACACCCGAAACACATTGTCCATCTGTTCACTCAAAGTCTAGATTGTACCAGTTGCAGTACTGAGAACACGGAACGGGACCCAAGAGAGAGACAAAGAACATGCCTGTAACAAGCACGGCACCAAGACAAACTGCGAAATGCAGGGTCGTGAAATGAGCCAGGAAAGTAGTGATTATTTTGTCATCTGATGACTTGAGGATCATATGCTTTGCTCCCCTGGTAGCCTCCTACCTTGTCGGCCTGTGGCCCCTGACTCTGCATAGTCCTACTGGTTTTCAGGGGAGGGTTGGGCTATCACATTCCATAGTCTGGGCAACTGTCAGATGGACCGGGGTGCTGGCTTTGAGATGCCAGCTTGTGGCCTCTCACACGCAGTTTACTTCTCCCTTTGGTGGTGGAAGCAATGTCCCTAACTCTCAGAGGTGTGAGGATTATATAGGGTAACACATGGGCATTAGTTAGGCTGACTCTTTCGTCGAGAAAACAGAAAACCCAATTTAATATGGAGTGATGAGGACATTAAAAAGGATTTATTTTTATGTGAATTGGTGTTTTGTCTTCAGGTATATGTACAAAGTTGGTGCAGTGCCAGAGGAGTCCAGAAGAGGACATTGGACCATCTGGGACTGGAGTTACAGGTAGTTTCGAGCTGCTCTTTGGGTGCTGGAAACCAAACCAGGATCTTCTACAAGAACAGCAAATGTTCTAAACTGTTGATGATTTCTCCTGCCCTGAGAAGGATAGTTTTGGTTTGTAAATAATCACAAAAGTAGAGTGGGATTTGTGGAAGCTTGATCTTGGGGCTTCATTCACCCATAGTTGTTGAGTATCTGCTCTGTTCATGTCTGGGAATACAGCAACAAGAAAACAGATTCCCCTGGCCAGATGTAACTTATTATTTCCTGGGAGAGGGCAGGCAATGGTGGCACACGCATTGGTTAATCAGCGAGGAGGTGTCTCCTGTGTTAAAGGAGCCTGCTGTCTGTTGAGGATGGTGCAAGAAGGTAAGGGTTCTTGGAGAAAGAGAAGAGGGGACACAGCTGAAATAACGTCGTGGGAGATGACTGGTACATGAGCCAGGACTGTGAGGGTCTGTTTCTGGTGTATTCTGAAGAGAGGATTTCCAGATAGACTCATTCCCTAAGAGTTTTGCCCTAAGCATCTGAAAAAATGGAGTTATCATTTTATTAAGTGAGGAGTGCAGGAGGCAGGTGGATCTCTGTGAGTTCGAAGCCAGCCTGGTCTACCGAGCGAGTTTCAGGACAGCCTCCAAAACAATACAGAGAAACCTGTCTCGAAAAACAAACAAACAAGAGAGAGAGAGAGAGAGAGAGAGAGAGAGAGAGAGAGGAAATATTAGGTACTCAGTTTTGTATCTGTTGTTTGAGACCCTTTAATGTTAGACTTTTAAGTGGGAATGTAGAGTTGACTTTGGATACATGAATCTTGTGCCTAGAGATGAGGCACAGATTCTTATGGCAGCAGCAAAATCTTTATTTTTGGGGGTAGAGTTCTATTTCCCATTACAGGTTGCAAGCCTTCAGGACACACACACACACACACACACACACACTTAAAATAAATCAAATCTTTTTGAAAAAGTTGGAAGTAAACAGCAATTCTGCTGAAGAGAGTTGGCTGAAAGGGTAAGGAGAAATGGGGCCATGGCCCAAGGGAAAGGAGAATCAAGAGAGAATTTGTTTTGAGACAGGCTGCCCTTGAGTTACTTTGAAATCTCCATATAGTAGAAGATGACCTTGAACCCTTGTTCCTCCTGCACTATCACACCCAGTTTATACGGTGGTAGGGATCAAACCTAGAGTCCTGTGCATTCTAGGTGAGTACTCCACCACCTGAGCCACATATATGTGTTTTAAAATGTATTATTTATTTGTGTGTCTGGGAGCGGGGCAAGAATGCCTGTGGAGGACAGGAGAGGACATCTGGTCCCCTGCGGCTGCTTAATGTGGGTGCTGGGACCCACACTTGGGTCCTTTGGAAGAGCGGCAAGTGCTCTTAACTGATATCTTCTTTTTAACCTTCTGTTACATATGTTCATGTGTGTGTTGTTACTTTTTTATTGAGACAGAGTCTCCTTATATAGCCCTAGTTATCTTGTAACTCCCTATGTAGACCAGGCTGGTCTTGAGCTCACAGAGATCTGCCTGCCTCTGCCCCCAGAGTGCTGGGATTAAAGATATGATCTCTGTTGCCTTTTTTTTTTTGATATAGGATCTCATGTAGTCTAGGCTGGACTTGAACTCATTATGTAGCAGAGACTGTCCTTGTACTCCTGACCTTTCTGCCTCTGCCTCCAAAGTGTCACCATGCTCAGCTCAAGAGAGTTTTTAACTAAGAGAAGCAATGGCATGCTTGTATACTGATATAAAGTCCAACAGAAAAACATAAGCGTTGACTTTAAGAATGTAATGTTGGAATGTAGCTGCTGTTCAGGTCACTGCACTCTGCAACAGCTTTCCCCTTTACAGATGCCAGTGGGCACCTTGCTGAGTGTGAGGGCTGTTCTTGGTGTCAGTTTGACGATCTGGAACGTGCGCAAGTGGAGGTACACCTGTGAGGGATAGTCTGCTCTGTTTGAAGTAGGTGAATCCACTTCTAGTCTGGACCTTTGAGGTAGAAGACAACTCTAATCTCGATCTTGAGGTGGGAAGACACATTCCTTTAAGCTAGATCTTGAGGTGGGAAGACACACCTTTAATCTGGGTCATACCTGCTGCTGGAAGCCCGTATGAGGACAATCAAAGAAGGAAGGTTTTGCTTTTAACCTGCTGGCCCTCGCCTTGCTAGCACATTCATTCCTTCACTGGCATTGGAGCCTACTTTTTCAGGATTCCAGCATATATAGAAGACCAGTTGAGACACCTAGCCGTGTGCGACTGAGAAACCACTAGATTTCTGGACTTTCTGTTCATAGCTAGCCATTGTTGGATTAGTTGGACTGCAGCCTGTAATTCATTCCAGTAAATTCCATATATATACATGCGATGCGTGTGTGTGTGTGTGTGTGTGTGTGTGTGTGTGTGTGTGTGTGTGTGTGTGTGTGGTCTGGTTGGAACCTCCAGCTCACCCCTGCATGATCCAGAAAGCCCCATTCCTGTCTCTTCCTCCAAACCCTACCCACTCAGAGAATCTCCAAACGAAGGGAAGGCACCAAAAAGCTTAGTGTTCCAAATTCTTGGAAGCTATGGCAGCTTCTTTCCCTAAAGTTGCCATTCGTCCAAGTCCCTGTCTAAAACTTGCAGTTTTTGACCATACTTGGGCACAAACCCAACTTGTGGTAGACATATCATCGCCCCTTACCTACAACCTATAAAGTCTCCTTGCTTTTGTTTGTGGATGTGGCTTCTCTGACCTCCATCTCTGGGTCTGGAGAATCTGCCTAGGAGTTGCTTTGCTCAAATAAACCTGTTGTTATACTTTTAAAATTCAGCTTTATTTGGTTTATTGTGTCAGTGGAGAAACATATTATGGGGGGGCAGAAAACACACACACACACACACACAGACACACACACACACAAGTAAGTTCTGTGATTCTAGAGAACACTGACTAATACACTGAGACATTGTAAGTCCTTAACTAACAGACTTCTGGCTGCCGTGATCTCTCAACCTGGAAGTGAGTTAACATCAAAGGGGGTACTGGTCATTCATTCTGCTCCCCACCCACTTTCCTGCCAACTGCCTGGAATCAGAGAGCCTTTTTGGAGGCTCTTGTGAACACCCATTCTCAGAAAGGTATGAAAACACTCTCCTGCACGGGGACTCTGAGTCTTCTCTTCAGAGACTCCGCCATGCTGTTGCTTCTGTCTATCCATCATGTTGATAACCTTCCTAATAAATTCCTTCTCCCCAGTAATCTATCTCAGTGTCCCTCTTGAAGCACCCCCATTGAAAATCAGTGGGCCGGCTCAGCAAGTGGAGGCACTTGGCACTGCTGCCGTTCTTGACAATGTTTCAGTCTATTTCCATTGCTATTGCAAAGTTCTGGAGACTGGGTGGTTCATAGAGAATAATTTGTTTTGGCTCAAGTTTTTGGAGACTGGAAAAAGTCCAGAGCTCGGAGCTGGCTCTGTGAAGGACTTTGGACAAATGGGCAAGTTGAGAAGAGGGTTAACACAAAGAATGGCCTAACTGCAACAACCGACTCTCACAAGAACAAACTCTCGTTTTTTATTTAAAATGTTTTATTCATTTTACATACCAACCAGAGTTCTCCCTCCCCTCCTCCCACTTCCCCACCCCGTCCTTAAAAAGGGTAAGGCCTCCCATGGGGAGGTAACAAAGCTTGGCACATCAACTTGAGGCAGGACAAGCACCTCTTGATGCTGAGCAAGGCATCCCACCATAAGGAATGGACTCCAAAAAAGCCAGCTCATGCACCAGGGATAGATCCTGTTCCCACTGCCAGGAGCCCCACAAACAGACCAAAGCATGCAACTGTCACCCACATGTAGAGAGCCTAGTTCCTCCCATGCAGGCTCTCCAGCCTGTGAGCCCAGAGTCCATGAGCTCCCATGAGCTCAGGTCAGCTGTCTCTGTGGGTTTTCCCATCATGGCCTTGACCTTCCCTTACTCATGTAATCCCTTCTCCCTCTCTTCGACTGGACTCGCAGAGCCCAGCCTGCTGCTTGGTTGTGCATGGCTTTGAGCCCTTTTAACAATGGGTTGACAAGGTAATCCACTATATAAAGTGCTTGCTGCCAAGGCTAATCAGCTGCCCATTTTTGCTGTCTTCTGGTTCCAGGACTGTTTGTAAGGATTCAGGCATTATGCTGGACTGCTCCTGTCACCTGACAGAATGCACTCAGGCAGTACTCTGGTCAGCTCAGGGTTCCATGATTGCATAGTCTGCACATAGGTGCAAAGAACCCCTTTAAAAGACAGACCTCTGCCCACTTACGCTCTCTTTCCCTCTCTCTTTCCTGCTGTTCCCCTGTCTCCCTCTTCTCTTCCGTCCTCTCTCTCTGTGTCTCCTTACCTTCCTTCCCCCTTCCCTCCCCTTTCTAATAACACTTCTCACTTAAGCTCTGTCTGCCTGGTGTGTTTGTCCCCTGCCTCCGTCACCCTTGCCTGCTATGGAATCCACCAAGGTCCCCCACACGCTTGTCATAACACTGTTGGCTACTTTCTGAAATTCTGTGGGTAGCAGTTTTCTTGGAGTCTTGGGCCTGTTTTATAGTCCTGGTTTTGGGGTTTTCCTTTATCTGGGCCCCACATGGTGTCAAGAAAGAGAACTGATTCCTGCAGATTTTACATATGTACACACACACACACACACACACACACTGTAATAATGTAATAAAACAACTCTCCTGATGGCCTAATTATCTCTTAAAGGCCTCGCTTCCCAGCACGCATCTAATGACAATCAAATTTCAACATGACTTTTCGAGGAGAAAAGGTGTATTCAAACCATGGATACTTCTTAGGTGTCCTGATTTTCTTGCTCTTGCTGGTGCCACTGTAGAACACTCAGAGGAGTGAGTCAGTGCAGAGTGCTTTCCTGTGTCCAGGCCAGACAAGAGATGCAAAGCATCTTGTTTTTGTTTCTAGGTCAGCTTGCAACTGCTACAATGCTCCCTGAAACAAAACAAAACAAAACAACAAATTGCTTTTGGGCATTGCTCCATGTCGTGAGGGCTTGTGTGGTGTCCCTAGGCAGCATGAGTTGGCTGCTAATGCTCACTGATGATAAAAGTATGTCTTACAGTCTAGCTTATCACTCAAGACCTTTAATTATTGGACTAGCTCAGCAGTCTCAGTTCCAGGAAGGCTCTTTCTTTAGGAGCTGGTATGATGTCTCCTGCTTTCTTGGATGGCTAGATCCTGTGTGCAATGGTGTGGTGGTTTGAAAGGAAATTTCCCCCTGTTGGGGTACCCTGAATTGAGGAGGGGTCCCCAAGCTGGATTCGTCACCCCAAGAATCAAGAGTCCACGTGCCAATTGATGCAACACGCAAGAGGCTTTAATTAGGCATCTGCAGATGGGCCTCTTGGTCAGCTTTTAGACCAAGGTTCCCGAGGTTCAGTTACAATCAGCTTTTAAAGACAAAAACCTCAAGCCTTTGGGAGGGGTCCCTATCTTGTGATGGGGGGGTATGTGACTACTGACCAGGGGAAGTAGATGTCTTCCTGACCTACACGTTGTAAATTCCTCAAACCTTGGTATGAGTTAATCATCTCTCCCTAAGTAAATGGTGGTTCCCACAAATCTTGCTTGCCCATCTCTGACGCCCTGGTCAGTTCTTCACAGGTGGTCAGCAGCCCGGAATTGGCCTTTTGTGGGTTTACAGCCCTTCTGCAATTAAGGTTGCTAAAACATACATTCCATTCTGTGGTTTGTCCAGTTCCTGGGATGGGGTCCTTTGTTCACTTCCCAAGTTCTCTAGTGGGGTGCCCTCCCTGTTTAAGCTTATATTTTATTTCTATAAATTCGGGGTCTTTCACCCCAAAGGGAGTGGCACTCTTAGGAGGTATGACTTTATTGGACTACGTGTGGTCTTGTTGGAGGAAGTGTGTCACTGTGGAGGCAGACTTTGAGGTCTCATATATGCCCAAGCCATGCCTAGTGAGATGGTTCACTTCCTGTTGCCTGCACAAGATGTAGAACTCTCAGCTACTTCTCTGGCACAATGTCTGCATACACACTGCTATGTCTCACCATGATGATAATGGACTGAACCTCTATTGTAAGCTATCTAATTAAATGTTTTCCTTTATAAGAGTTGCCATGCCGTGGTGTCCCTTCGCAGCAATAGAAACTCCAACTAAGACAATGGCTACTGACTTTTTGGTTTCCTTTTGTTCCTGATTCAGGCATCTAGAAACCCTTCTCCTTTGTTTCAAGGAGAGTAAGTTGTCACTTTCGCCTGGATGGCTGTCTTAGTCACTGTTTATTGTTGTGAAGAGACACCATGACCAAGGCAATGCATATGAAAGAAAGCATTTAATTAGGTAGTTGCTCATAGTTTTAGAGGTTTAGTTCGTGATCATCATGGTGGCATGAATGGCATTGGAACAGTAGCTGAGAGCTACATCCTGATCCACAGACCAAGAGAGGAAACTGGGTCTGGCTTGGGCCTTTGAAATCTCAAATCCCACTCCCAGTGACACACTTCCTCTAACAAGACCATGTATATTCCAACAAGGCCACTTCTCCTAATCCTTCTCAAATAGTGCCACTTCTTAATGAGTAAGCATTTGAAAATATGAGCCTATGAGGGCCATTTTTATTCAAACCACCACACTGTTCTCCCTCTGTAGTAGCTGTGTCTTAGATGTACACTATAGGAGAGAATAGGTTTGCAAATGAAGAGGCAGAATTTCCCATTGTTTCACTAGATGGCTGTCAAACTTGCCCCTGAGAGGCTTCTATTGGTCAAAGCACTAGACACTAAAGCAGCATCCTGGCCCTGCTGATCCCTGTGTACTAACTGGCCTTGCCAGGTCATGCCTGGAGATGGAACTGTACCTGAGAGGCTCCCAACTCTGTAGATTTCCACAGTACAAAAAGTGCCAGGATGTAACTAGCCTATTTAATATGGAGCTCAAATATAACTGTCTCTCTCTACCCCTTATTTAGTTTTAGTTAAAAAACTGCATAAGAGGAATAAAAAGTACTCCCCCACTTCTTTTTTCTCAATATATGTTTTTATTTAAATTAGAAACATGCATGCTTCACATGCCAATCCCAGCTCCCTCTCCCACCCCTCCTATCTTGTCCCTCCACCAGACCCCCCCAGTCCCCCACCCAATCCCCATACTATTCCCAATGGAGGGTGCAGCCCTCCATAGAGGGATCTCCGGAGTCTGTCATTTCATCCAGGGCAGGACCTAGGCCCTTCCCCATGTGTCCAGGCTGAGAGAGCATCCCTCTATGTCGAATAGGCTCCCAAAGTTCATTCGTATACCATGGTAAACAAGGACCCAGAGATTGCTGAGGCCTCTTCACTGATACTACATTCAGGGAGTCTGGATCAGTCCCCTGCTGGCTTCTCAGCCATCAGTCTGGGATTCAGGAGCTACTCCTTGTCCAGTCAGCTGTCTTTGTGGGTTTTACCAGCACGGTCTTGACCCCTTTGCTCATCACTCCTCCTCCTCTGTCACTGGGTTCCAGGAGTTTAGTTTAGTGTTAAGCTGTGGGTATCTGTCTCTGCTTCCATCAGTCACTGGATAAAGGTTCTAGGATGGCATATAAGGTAGTCATTAATCTTATCATCAGGGAGGGGCTATTAACAAAGTCTCCACTATTGCTTAGTTTGCTAGTTAGTGTTATCCATGTAGATCTCTAGAAATCTCACTAATGTCAGCTCTCTCCTCAAACCTATAGTGACTCCATCTATTATGGTATCTCTCATCCTGCTCCCCCTTCCTCTCATTTCCCTCTCTTTTTCCTGGTTCCCTCTCCCCTCCCCCGATGTTCCCAATCTGCTCAGGAGATATTGCCTCACTCCACTTTCCTGGGTTATCATGCATATCTCTTGGGAAGCTCCCTGTTTCCCAGACTCACTAGCACTGAGATTGTGGGTTGACATTCCCCTGATCCATGTCTAAAATCCATATATGAGTGAGTACATACTATGTTTGTCTTTTTGTGACTGGGTTACCTCACTCAGGATGGTTTCTTCTAGTGCTATCCATTTGCCTGCAAATTTCAAGATTCCATTGTTTTTCTCCTCTGAGTAGTACTCCATTGTGTAAATGTACCACATTTTCTCTATCCACTCTTCAGTTGTGGGGCATCTAGGTTGCTTCCAGGATCTGGGTATAACAAATAGCCCTGCTAGGAACATAGTGGAACAAACATCCTTGGTGTATGAATGAGCATCTTCCCCTCCCCCCACTTCTTCTGAGAGTGTTTG